TTATTCACTGTATTGCCCACCTGAGTACTGTTTTCAGCTATCTTAGTACTTTTTTCCTCCTTGATGTCCATCCATCATCCTTTGATATTCATTTATACTCTGCTGCACGCTTCTTTACTTAATTGCCGTCTTAGAATCGGAGAAAAGCCAGGCTGGCAGGGCCCCGAGGAGGTCACATCTAATCCAACCCCTTGGCTCAAGGCACGTACATCCCTCTGTAAACCATCTCATACAAGTGCTTGTCTAGCTTGTTCCTCAAACTGCGCAAACAACCCCGTCACTCACCTACAAGGCACAAGCCCAAGGACACCAAGAACATAGCCCAAGGACACCAAGAGCACCTGATCCTGTTGCAGGTAAAGAAGGGAGACGAGAGCTGGCAATGTCCTGCAGCTGCAAGGTTTGTAAAATGCACTTGATAGATCCCAGAAAGGCCATGCCTCCCCATTACAGAGGATGGAAACCCACCCCCTTCAGTCCATACCAATTTGACCATGGGGGACAATTCCTCCCTGACCCCAAATGTAGCATCGGTCTGACCCTGAGTGGAGGGGTAAGACCCTCTAGCCAGAAACCTCCAGGCTTGGTCCCAGCAGGAGCACTGGCACAGCCCAGTCCCCATCCCCATCCCCATCCCGGGCTGCAGGATGCTTCTGAAGAAGGTAAAAATAATTTAAAAAAAGCCCCGACACCTGTAGCAACAGGAGGGTGGAAAAAAAAATCCTTCCCAGCACCATGTGGCAACCAGTACAGCCGGGTGGCCTGGAAAGACCTAAACACCCTCTACTCTGTTCTGCAACCTGGGGACAGCAAAAACTTTATGCATCACACTTATCCAAACCAAATGTTTGTCTAACCTGTTCTTAAAAACTTCAGGAAAAAACCCTAAGCACAACTACCAAGCACAGTACCCAAAATATCAAAAACATGCATAATTTGCCCCCGGTAAAACAGGAAGGACGAGGACCCTGCCAATGTCCTGCCACTGCAAGGACGGGAAGGAGTGGGTTAAAATTGCTCAAGGGATCCAAGGAAGAGGACCACGTGTACTTAAACCAGGCATGGGGATTACATGAGTGTCTTTGACCCTCTCCCCATCTCATTTCTTGGTTCAAAGCTCTCTTCAGCCCAGAGGGCTATTTCCCAAGGATCATTCCTTTGAGAAGGATCCTTTTTCAGTGAATGCAACCCAATGGCTGGATACCCCCAAATCCTTCCCTTGTGGCACCAGTCCTTGCACTGTCTGCCGATCCTTTGCAGTTGTGTCTGGCCTTTGCCCCGCACATGCTAGGCACTGATGATGGTCACATCTGAGCCCCAACTCCTCCGGGCATCATCCCCAGCCTGGTTTTTGTCATCCTTGACCCAGTTCCAGCTGGAATCTGTCACTGTCATTGTCCCAAGGAGGAGGAGGATCAGCAGACTTTAAGCATGCTCCAATCCCTTTAGGACCTTTTAAAATCTCAGATCCATGTCTTGCATCTGTGCTCCTGGCGGACAGCACACCACCTTATTTCCTGCATGTGGTCTGCTGATGGGTCATAGGATGAGAGAAAAGTAGGGCTGGAAGAGAGGTCATCTACTCTAGTCCCCCGTTCCCTGACTAAACCATCCCAGCTAATATCTGTCCAACCTGCTCTTGAAAATCCCCAAGGATGGAGAGTCCACAGCTTCTCTAGGCAGCTTGTTCCAATGCTCAACTGTCTTCATAATCTGCCAATTCCTCTTAATACTCAACCCAATACACCCGTCTCTTCTGCGAGTTAGCTCGAATCTCCTATCCCCTCTGCCTTCTGCCAGCAGTGCCCTGCCTTTCAGTCACCGTCTAGCTATACTGTCCTCATTCTTCCTCAGCCTCCAGTCCTTGCTCTCTTTATTGTCTCTTTTTTTTCTTCTTCTGAAGTCACCGGCTCTTCTCTTCTTCCTTGCTGGCTCATCTTCTGTTTCTACCTCATTCTGCTCCTTGCTCTTCAGTTCAGCAAACTTGTTCCTTGTATTTCTCCTCCATTTGCTGGTCTCTTCTTTTGCTTTGTTCTCACAGCTATGTATGCCCCTGGTTCACCCTCCTTCTCAAGGGGTCTGCCAGCCAGGTCATCTTGTTCAGCA